GCTTAGGTGGGTGCCCAAAGGGGCGGGGGGAGGGGTTTGGCGTGCAGAGGAGATGGGACTGAGTGGGGCATCACCCCGAGGCTTGGGGATGGGTCTGCATTTGGGGTACTGAGGGGTGCGGAGGGGCCGGGTAGGGGCCCCCCCCGAGAAATGCTCCTTCTCCAGGTGCCCGCCTGCACCCCACTTCTCCTTCCTGTGAGTTTATTTTGATTTATTTTTTTGGCTGCGGGTTTCTCGGCAAGGGTTTGCACGTGGCTCGCTCCAGCCCGTGGCCACCGTGCGTGGGTCCTGGTGCGCGCCGTGTGCCTCCTGTGCTTCCGAGTGCACATCCCGGTGACCGGGTGGAAAAAGCGACTCACTGCCTGCGGCACCTGAGGGTTTGCCGGGACTCTCGCCAGCTCTTGCTGCGGGGGCGAGGAGGGGATCCCTGTGTCCACAGCTCTGGGATGGGTTCCTCCTGTGTCGCAGCCCTGCTTCATCTCTGTTGGGTGATCCTCCACCAGCCCAGGCACTCGGGGCGTCTGTCTCTGAGCACTGGGGACCCTCAGGAAGGTTGGGTTGGTCCTTCCCGCCAATGTGGCTGGCTCCTGCGGGAAATGGTGGATGCTTCACCCCTGGAGACGCTTAAATTTAGCTTGGCCCGAGCCTGAGAAAATGCAGCATTGGGAGCGCGGATGAGTGTGCCAGATCTGAGCCGGCAAAACCGCCCTGCTCGGCAGCTTCTGGGGAAGGGGAGTTGTTGTCTCCCATGGGCTGAGGACTTCTCAGAGGGACCTTGGTGGCAGGAGGGCTGCTCTGGGATGCCAGAGGGATGACAGCAGAGCGGGGAGGCCGGGAACGCCACGGCGTGTTTCCAGGACCATGGTTTCCCGGGTAGGGGAAGCCGTCAAGAGGAGACGGTCGGTTCCCGTTTGCATTTTGTTCTGCGCTGGCCCTGAGGAGTCGGCGGGGATTGCACGGCTGTTTGCCAAGATCAGGGTTTGGCCAGATTTCAGCTCCCAGAGAGGCGGGTTGTGCCAACCCCGGTGATGGGGCTCTGCAGTGCCGCAGGTCGCTACGCTGGCTGCCGTGGGGTCCGGCAGCCAGCGCCTTCCTTCCCGGTGCAGATACGAGATGGATGAGTGAGGGGAGAGAAGTGCGGAGTTGAGGGAGCCAGAGACATGGAGAAGCTCTTCCAGGTGGCAGGGACCCGCTGATGGGGAGGCTCCTGTGTCACCCTGCACTTGGGGTCGGCGGGACTGGGAGAAGAGGGGAGCAAAATCCATCAGACCTTTAAAAAAGAGGGTGTTTGGGTTGGAGAGCCCTGCTGGCACCCTGGGTCTGGTGAGGCAGTAGTGACCTGACATCCACAAAGCCGAGGCTATCACCGGGAGGGTGACGGGGACAGGGTCCCACTGACCCCAAGGGAGCGATGTGTGGCTCTCCCCACTGAGCCAACAGCAGCCCCATCCCCTGCAGGCAGGCAGGGCTTCTGAGTAGGGACATCTCTGCGGAGGTTTTGTCTCTTTCGTCAGGATGGCAGGCAGGAGCTGTGACCAGCGCATCGCCAGTGAGTTTGGGAGTGGGCTGGAGCTTCCCGCACCATGTTTGCACAGTAAACAGCTGGTTAATGTGCAGCAAAGCTGGGGGGGAGAGGTGGCAGGACTGTCCTCCCTGCTAATCCCTGCCCTGGGACACTTCCTCCGGGAGTTCGGGAGTTCATTACCTGTACGTGGGACCGGCAGCCCCAGAGAGGCACAGAGCAGCATGGCCTGGGACAGGAGCTGGTCCCAAGGAGGGTTCTGGCCCTGTGGGTCCTCTCTGTTGTTGCCCACAGGGCTGCAGGCAAGGAGCTGGCAGCGGCCGTCATGTCGGCAGCTTGTGCCCCACACGGACATCTCCGTTTCATGGCTCCTGGCCGGGGGAGAGGCAGCTGAGGGGCTGCTGCCCAGCTCTGGGGTGCCCTGCTCCCGCTGCAGGGGTGTAGCAAGCCCCTCAATCTTTGCTTTGTGTTTCCTGGAGTTTTTTCTGGCTGCTTGCAAGCTGCTGCCTGATTTCAGCCTCGTCTGGCTCTGCCGGCTCCCGCAGGGACCCTGGCTCAGAGAACAGAGCAGGATCCCAAGACCTTAAGCCCCAGTGCAACTCCTCGCACTAATCCTGCAGTTCCAGCGCAGCCAGCTGTTGACTAAATCTCCCTTTTTTTTGGTTGTTTTTCTTTTTTTTTCCCTGGATCTGGATTTTGCTGGTCTTAAGCTTGGGAATTTGCTGTCGCAGGTTTCCCGGCTGCAGCCCATTTCCGAGCTGCTTTTTGTTCTTCATCTCTTCTTTCCTTGGGGTTTGTCCAGGACCGACAAGCACTGGTGCTCGCCGGTGTGTTGGGCTGCTCAGGGACCCCCTGGGTCCAAAGAGAAGGTGGTTTCATATACGCTTGGCCTTGGCTCCATGGATTGGGATAGGGGAAACCCTCCTCTCCTGGTGGGATGCCAGAGAGGGGGGGAATAGGACATCCCCTTGTGCTGGAGGGGATGATGGGGGCTGTGCCCTTTCCCGGGATGCGGGCAGCAGAGCACTTTCCTGCTGCTGTTGGGATGAGGAAGTCTGTGCTGCTCATGGCGGGTCAAACCCCTGCCTGGGTCAGCTGTGGGCAGGCTCCTGCCTTCGGGGCTGGGGCAGGAGGGGGCTTTTGGAGCCAGCTCGGTTCTGATGCTGCCCCAGGACCCCAGCTCTCCTCTGCCATGGGGCTTTCCTCCGCTGACAAGTGCGGGGGGCGAGTGCCCAGATGCGGTTATCTCCCGCCTGTGGTTTGCCGTGACTCCTTCCCTTGGCCTTGAGCAGTGCTGGGAGCCGGCAGGCTGCTGTGTGGTGCCGAGCAGGCAGCCCTTCCTGCTCAGCCTGCCGCAGTCCCAGATCCAGGCTGGGATCTCCCCCAGTTTTTGGGCTGCAGCACTGGCTGACTGTCTTTAGCGTGGATGAGGTGCCTGCTGGAAAACCCAGCACTCTGGATTAAAGGGGACGGGCTGACCCACTGAACGCCGGTGGCTGGGGAGCCCAGAGCCCTCTTGGGTGGGCACAGGGGCTTTGGCTGTTTGCAGGGGGGGAGCAGGGCTGGGCTCAGCCTCTGCTCTGGGGATGCGTGTGCTGCAGCCTGTGGGAGAGACGTGGTTTTCCCCGCTCTGGGCTGCTAAACCCAGTGGGGGCTCAGCATCCTTCCTGCACCGGAGCACCCATGGAGGGAGGAAAGTCCCTTGCAGGGCCTTCTCCGCACTTGGTGGCTTTGCAGCAGAGAGGTACGGTGCACCTCGAGCCCTCCCACCTCACTTCTGCACAGTTCCTGAGGGCAGCTGGGTCAGATGTGCCTTGCTTGGGGGCTGCCTGCCCCCATGGGACCCTGGGGGGCTTGATACTGTCTGTGGGGCAAGCTTGGGGCTTGGCTGCAGGAGGGAGAGCATGGGGATGACCCACGGGGATGGGGATGTCTCGGGTGTAATGGGGCAATTCGGAGGAGCCCCAGCACCCTGGGGTGCCTTCTGGCCCCCCTTGACCTGCCTCCCCCCACCCC